TGCTTGAATTATGCTAAAATGATGACATTTTATTTCATCAGTAAATTTTATATAATCTGATGAATCTATCTTCTTTCAACTCTTCATCAAAGAAAAGAAATAGAATATGAAGTTAATATTCACTCTGAAGTCAAGTAGACATCTCACTGATATCTTCTCATTCAGAGTATACAGTGTAATTGTAACATGAACTCAGAGATATGAGAATTATCAATTCTTTTCTTTCTCTTCTTTATCTTTCATAGATACATTTGTCAGAAGAGGAGTTAACTTTAAGAAGATGTCTTCTCAGTTTCTTCTCTTCTTCAGCTTCTTACAATTACTGATATAGTAATTATCAGCTCTGCAGTTGAAACAGAGATCTTTATCAAATCTTTTTTAGTATTTCTTCACAGTGAGTGAAGAATCAGAATACTTGAAATTCTTCTTTACTTTCTCTACACTGAAGCTATTATAACACTGTTTAAATTTTATCATTGATTGCTTAGAAGAAGTCTTGTTAGTCTTTTTCTTAGAGAATTAATTATTCAAATAGATTCAGAAAGTCAGGTTGACAAGCTCAGTATAATTAATTAATGAACTCTGATATTATGATATCATTATCTGTATCTTATAAGTCAGCTTCATAAGATAAAGCTGTGTTTTTAATTGATTCAAATTATCAGTCAATTTCTCTCAATATTCTTCAAATCTTGTATTGAAATTGAAAGAATTCTCATTATCTCATTGATATAATAAGTTAAACTGCTGTATCACTGTGAAGCTGTAATTATAATATTCTTCAATTTGATTCAGTAGAAAGTTCTTAAATTCTTTTCAAGTCATAACAGTATTGATACACTCAAGCTCTCTCTTCTTAATAACTCAAGTAGTCACAGAGATGCCTTCAAGAAGGTTGACAGTGTATATTACTCATATCTCATGAGTATTATACTGACTCAGATTAAGGTGAAATTTTCATTCAAGAATGTGAATAAAGCTATGAAATTCAGATAAGATATTTCTCTTATATCTCAAAGAATCTCTGACCTTAATCTCTCTATCTTTATAATAGATGTAGGTGTGTAGAGGCTGTGACAGTGATAGAGCAGTTGAAGAGCTCATGTCAAAATATACAGTGAGTTCAGAAATCTTGAATTTCTGCTAGAGTAGAAATGTACACACTCTAGAGAATGATATAGTATTTCTCTCAGAGAGTGAGATCAGATCAGTCTCAGTATTAGTGTATGAGATTATATTAGTCTGTTAGAGCTTGACTGATTCAAACATGTAATCAGATTGAGTGATTTGAATTATAATATAATGAAACTAAAGTGATGACTAGTCAGTGATATTATATAGAGATAGTTGTTTGAAAAGCTGTATAAGTGAACTTAACTATCTTACTTAAATAGTGAGCTTGTAGACTACAGAGTTATTGCAAGAATATCACAGATATAATACTTAGTATACTAAGAAGATTGTATAAGATATGCAGTAACTCTTGTATATATTCTAGTAGAAGAAAAATAAATCACTGACTTCTTTGATGAGAAGTCAGCATCTAGCTATTCTATATAGACAATGAGCAAATACTCTTCTCTCATTTCACAAGTGAGAATAGCTGAAGTGATATCTCAGCAGTGTCTCATTGTCAAGAAAGAGTAATCTGCTTAGACTGACCGCCGGGATCATGAATTTCACATTTGGTCCCATTTGATCTGGTCTCATACATTTCTTGGTGTGAGTTCCACCAGGACCAAGCCTCAAAAAAATCTGAAAATGGACCATTTCTGAGAGAAATGGCATGAAAAATGACTAGATTTAATTCAAGAACAGTGAAATGAGAGTAATTTTCCAGAATAAACTGTGAAAGATAATCATTCTTTCAAAATCAGAATGAGACTGAGACTGAAGAATCAAAATCAGTCTCATTCAGTTCATTCAGTGATTGCTTATATAATCAGAATTTGGTAATGATTATTGATAATGCTCATGAAACAACTAAATACATTCTTATACAAGTTTATTCTTCACTTTCTCATGAAAACTACACTTCTCTGATATACTGTGATCAGAGATATTAAACTGTCTGATAATTTCATGTTTTACAATCATGAGTTTCTTGATTGTTTCTCCTTGTAATTGTTCTCAGTGATAGTGATAAATATCTCAACTTGAGTTGAACTTTCACTTCATTCTCACCTCTGTCAATGAAATTGTCAGAATATCACACAGCATCAGTGTAACAGTTAAATATGTACTCTCAACAATTTTTCATAACTCTAGAATTGATTTGATGTGTAAATTCATCAGATCATCTTGAAGATAGCAGTCAAATTCAGTTTTACAAGTATGTAGTTTTGCCTGATTTTCAGTTGTAATCAATGTATGCAAGTCCTGTTTCAAAGTTAGTATTATAGTTCTATGTGATATGAAGCATTATCAAAGATCATTACTTACTAGAGAATTGTATTTCACTGTCTTCACATCTTAAACATCTGCTTGTTCAAATCTCTGATAGTTGACATTGTAGTAGTCTCAGGCTAATTTGATATATAAGTCTCATTTCTTCTCTGTCCAATCTTGAGAAGTGTAGATGTTAACTTGACAGAAGAAATCTAGTAGAGCTGCTACAGCATAGTACTCTGCAAAAGATTGTTTCATTTTGCTGTAGTAATATGCCAGTTTATTCCTTACAGTAACAATAGCCTGCACTATAGCATCATCTCAGACTGAATTTCTTTTTAAGTGATTCAACTGCTTCTCAAGATGAGTAAATAAACTGTTATACATTCATCAGACTGACTGCAGCATTGGTGTACAAGTGATTGAGACTGTCTTTATTATCTTATAAAATTGAAACAGTAAATCAATCACATATTTCAACTGAGTTCACTTCATATCAGAAAGTTTCAATATCTGAATCTTTTCTCAATCAGAGTGTTGCACTCAATGATTAATCACCTGATACAATTGAAGAGTCTGAACAGTTATCTCATATATTGAACTTCACTGTGTTCTAACATTCTGTATCATATTCAGTGATGTGACTGATTTGTTTATTTGTTGAATATCATAGAATCATTGTTGTTATTTAGAAGAGATACAAATTGCATTAGCAATGTTTCAAATCTATGATATTTAAATTATTAGTCAATCTATTCAAAATTAATAGTAGTATTATCAAAAAGTGTTATTAAAAAGTAATATCAAAAAGTGTTATCAAAAAACATTATCTTTTGCAAAGTGAATACAAAAGTTACTTGAGTAATCACTTTCATCTCATTCTCATCTCAAGAATCAGCCATCTCATTATTCTTCATCTCAATGTTAAGATTCTTTATCAGTGTTTGTATCACAAGTTGAATCACATAAGCAATGCAGAGAATATGACCTTGTTTACTATTTCAGAAATGCAAAGCCAATTTTTGCTTCAAGCTCTTCATCATAGTGTAGTTATTCACAGCATTGTCAGTTGTAATTGTAAGAAGACTGAGACTAATATTTCAATAGTCATTTTTAATCACAGTTATTAATATCTCTGCTATATAATCCTCAGTATGACTACTGATCAATGATTCAAATTCAATTAATATCTCTTAATAAGTTCAGTTCTCATTAATGTAGTAACATGTAACTCTTATAAATGTAAGATTGTTTGTACTAGTTTATATATTCACTGTGAGAGATACTCTTCAATGATTCTTCAACTCTGATTCTAGATATTATATATTGACTTTGTAGTGTGTCTCAAGATTGAACTGAAGACAGAATTGATGTGAAATATGAAGATTTGAATTAAGTATTTGAAGAAGTGTTTGAAATTCAGGGTTTTTAATTGATTGAAGAGAAAGATTCAGAGATATACACATATAAAGTAATTGTTCATGGAAGTTATCAGATGAGAGTTGTGAAATCAGAGTACTGATACAGAATCATTTTCACATGATTTTCTTCAAATTAGAAAGTTAGTGATATCAAAAATTGTTATCTGATAGAGCAACTTATCAGCTCAGTAGTAATTTTCTGATTATTTTTCTTTTATTGTCTGCATTCTGATAACTTCAGATGTCAGGAAATTTCTTCAGAGTTATAATCAGTTCATGATGAATGTTTCTGAATGAAGTTGCAGTGATTGTAGCAGAGAGATGACTCTTCAATAATCTACAATGCAATCTGTTGATAATTATTTCATAGTTCATCTCAATGTTTGTGTTGAGTTTTTCATAAATTTCATGACCTGAAATCAGATGTGAAGAATGAAGTGATCATTCATCATGATTGAAAGAGAGCATTCTGTGTTGAATTGTAAACAATATAGACTTTGTGATTCACAGTGATTTCTTGAAGAGTTTATGAATCTTCAATAGAAGTAAAAGAAGTGAATTCAGAAGACATAATAATAATCTGAGAAAGATAATAATTTATTTTCAATAACTGATCACTGATGTGTGTAAGAAGAATTAATATAAGAGAAAATAATCTTGTTTCTTAGCTTAGTTATAATTTTAGTACTAACTCAGATTGAATATCATTAATATATAAAAGTAAATAAACAATCTTGATTAATCTCTGTCATATTTCTTGAAATATATTAATATTGTGAAAGAGAGTATTACTAAATTATATTATAAGATGATATCATTAAAAATATATTAATATTATGAATATTAATGTTGAAAAAATGTTGATACTTATACATTATAGTGATTTGTGAATCATGATAGTTAAATATATATATATATATATATATTATTCCTGACTTGATTACAACTTGTACAATAATTTTTAAAAACTCAAAATTAATTTCAATTATTAATAATTATGAACTTACAACTAAACTAACTAATATAAAAAGAAAAAAACTTTTTCTACTCATTATCTTTCTTCTCTTTCTCATTCTTCTTACTATTCTTCACAATTCACTTCTCATTCTTCTTCTTCTTCTTCTTCTCCTTATCTGAGGTGATAATCACCTCAAAATATTCCTCTGCTGCCTTCTTAGAGAAGAGTTTCTGCTACTCTCTCTCAGTCAGGTCAACCTGCATCTCAAAATCCTGCATTTTCTGGTCTGCTGTCTTGAGTTTCACTTCAGCAGCAAGCAGATTGACATGCTCAGAGAGCAGAGCTGTCTTCTTAATATTCTGAATTATGAAGTGCATTTGAGACCTGAACAAGGCCTTAATTCCCTTCTTCTCTGCCAGCTCCTGCTAATCAATTAGAGAACAGAAGTGTTATCAAAAATCATTATCTCTCAATAAATAAAAAACTTATCAGTTTTGACTTCTTTATCTCTTACTTCAATACTCTCTCAATCTTCTTCTATCATTGCTTATTTACAGTAACACTCTTCTTCTCTCTCTCTCTCTTCATCTTAATCTCAAATCATTCTCAGAACTTCTCCTGATTTTATCACTGCTGTATAAGGCTCTTCACTATCTTCTTCTTCAATCTCTCACAGACAGTGTCATCTGTATTATTTCTATACTTAGTTCAGTCTAAATCTATCAGAAGTGTTACTTAAAATTGTTATTATTCTGCTCTCTTACAGAGTCTCTTCAAGGTATTATAACATGTCTTACAATCTGTCTTCTCTTATTTAAACACCTTCTTCTTCTCTCTCTTCAATCTGTGACAGTGCTCACGCGCCTTGATGATCCGCAGGACCGCAGAATATTTGAAGAGAGATAACATAATTAGTTTCAGTGAGTATTGAAGAGAGGTGAAGGCAGAAGAGGCGGTCAGAAATGATATGATAATAATGATAATGATGATGATGATAATGATGATGATAATAATGATAATAATGATAGTGATAGTAATGATAATAATTATAATAATGATAATGATGATGATAATGATGATGATGATAATGATGAAAGAAGAAGTGCATTGAAATATATTACTGACTTATCAAATATAAAGAGACTTAAAGAAAATATTAACAGCTTTCAGCAATGTACAGAAACAGCTACAGTGTTGTATAGCAATATCATCTTTATTCAATGCATACACTGTTGATATTCTTTGTATGCAGTTATTATATAATCTATATCAGAGATACATGTAGAAAACAGATCTTTATTACTAGAATAAATAGTTACTGTAATTCTCTGTTTTCATATTATAAAGATAAGTTGTTCTCATTTCTTTCTTCTCTCTTTTCTCTTCTTCAATCAATCACTAATTTCAAGCTGGTATGAAAACTATTAAAACACTCTCAGAAACTCTCAAATTGAAGAGTATAGACTAATCAAATTTCAAATACAGAAGAAATCAAATTATCTTCTACAGATTCAATTATTCATTTCCTCTTAAATAAAACAGCAGTTGCATCCCTCCCTCCCTCTCAATCAAACAAATCATGGCCCGCGAAAAGTGAGTATCACGCCAGGCTATAATGACCAACACAGCCCCAGCATGCAGAGCTGTATATACACAGCATATACTGAACTGAGAGACTGTGTGAGTTGCAAACCAGCAGCAGCATCTCAGAGAGAGCTGTGTAGTGTAGAAAAGCTGCAACTCTCAGTCACATGCATAGAGAGTGAATCACTGCAGTAAGTACATGTGTATTGAAGTAACACTTTTTAATAACACTCAGTCTCTGATATGATGAAAATAGAGTCTCTCTGTGAGATTCATTTCTACTAGAAGTCAGAAAATCTTATATTCTTCAAGATTATCTTTGTGTGCCTTGTCTGTGAAATCAATGAGAAGAATCATTGATTTCAGTATTCTGCTCTTGATACTATTCAAGTGGCAGCAGAGTTCACTCTGATCACACTTTTTAAGTGTATATTTTCTAATTATTCACATTTATATAGATATATACTGATTATTTATTAGATGATGTTAAGACAATGACTCATTACAGCTGTGTTATTCTCACTGTGAGAGATACACAGTTGATGATAAACATTGTAAAGACTCTGAGAAGTGAGTATTTTAAAGATGCTATGACTCTGCAATCTTGATTTTTTTTTGTTTTTATTTTTTATTTTTTTCTTTTTCTTTTCTTTTTTTTTTTTTTAATTTTTCTTTCTCTTTCTATCTTTTTCTTTCTCTTCTTTTTTTCTTTCTCTTTTTTTTTTTTTTTTTTATTGTGATTTTTTCTTGTTGTTTTGTTTTTTGTTTTTTTGTTATTTTTTGTATTTTACATTTTTTTTTTTAATTAAAATGATATTGATTATGATCTGTGTTTAGAAATGTAATGATATTTAATAATACTCTCTGTTGAATTTTCAACAAATGAGCACTATGTTATAATATTATATAAGTGAGAAATGATTTCATGATCTCATTTGATGCCATTTTCAATAATGAGATCAGAATGAAAATGTGACTAAGAATTCAAACATATTCTTTATCTGAGACTAGATTTTTATTTGAAAAGTGAATCTGAGATCTTTAATATTTGAAATAACGGGATTTGGAATCAATGTGATGAACACAAACTATAATCAGGAGTAATGCTTTTAGGCAATGTGACAACTGTAAAGTTTGATCCTGGTCTCAGACACGGTCACACGGTCAGTCTAAATCTGCTGACCTTATATAGAAGTGAGGTTCTTATATTCATCAATCGGATCTTTCTATAATATATCCGAATGATGTCATAGGGCAGTTGGAAACCGGTTCGGACAGCCTGCGGGATGGATGGAATCATCCGCATGGAAGCAATGAGCCGTATGAAACCGCAGCAGGGCCTTGGCGCGGCCAGGGGCGTGACATATATATATAAAGTTGACAATCTCAATTATAATCTTATGTTAGAACTTGTCTGACTACCTGAATAAGATATCTTATTAAATACTTGAAACAGAAGCTTGATATTCTCTAACAATGATAGAATTCATGAAGATAATATTTACAAGACTATGAATCTTACACAGATCTCTGTTAACACTTATAAAATACTCTGAAAAAGAAGTCATTATTAAAATCACTGATAAAATTATCAATAGTAGAATTATATATCAATCTATTTCATCAGTCTGACTGATATTAAAAAGACTCTAGAAAAGTTATCTTATATTATAATAACAGATTCTTATATAAAACTCTCTTAATAATATCATAAATATCTAGATGTCTTTTAATAAGATAATAATGTTATAAATCTATCTCTCTTACAAGGTTCAGAAGTGAATCACAGTATCAAGTTAAAAAAGAAAAATGATAAGAACTCTGAATCATTACAAAACTCTCTTTATAATATGTTCTGAGATAAACTTCTTCTTCTTCAAAAGACACTCAATAATCTGTTGAATAAAGAATTTATACATATTAGCAACTTTTTCAATGCAGCCTTCATTCTCTTTGTAAAGAAATCAGATAAAGAACTCTGATTCTGCATGACTTATTAAGAATTGAACAGATTAATAAAGAAGAATCATTATTCTTTATCTCTTATCAATGAAACTCTAGCTCACATTGAATAAGCTCAATAATTTACAAAGTTAGATATCATCACTGCATTTCATAAGATTCATATGACTGAAGAAGATGAGTGACTTACAGTATTCTGAACATAATATGATCTCTTTGAATGAGTAGTTACATTCTTTGAACTAACTAACACTCTCAGTATATTTCAGAAGTATATCAACTGAGTACTCTGAGATTTTCTTGATGAATTTATATCTGCATATCTTGATAATATTCTCATCTTCACTGATGAGTTCAGAAAAGAATATCAAGAACATGTATAAAAAGTATTATAATAACTATAAGAAGTAGAACTACTGATAGACATAGATAAGTGTAATTTTAAGATTAAAAGTATAAAATATCTAGGCTTTATCATAGAAGCTGATAAGAGAATTCAAATGAATTCTAAGAAGGTATCTGCTATTCTTGAATGAAAGCCTGTGTGTACTGTGAAAGATGTACAAAGCTTTATCAGATTCACTAACTTTTATCAGCAATTTATATGAAACTTCTCAGATATTATGAGATCACTTATAGAACTTACTAAGAAGAACTCAGTATTTCAATGATAAGTAAATGCTGAAGCTGCATTTATACAGATGAAGAAGATATTCATTAATATCTCTCTGCTGATAATATTCAATTCTGATTATAAGATAGTTATTGAAGCTGATTTCTCTGACTCTGTCACAGAAGAAGCTATATTGCAATATAATGATGAAGATGTTTTATAATTATGTATCTTCATGTCTAAGAAACTGAGTTCTGCTGAATGCAATTATGAGATCTATGATAAAAAACTTCTCATAATTATATACTATCTAGAAGAATAAAACTCTGAACTCTAAAGTGTCTCTGAATTTGAGATAATCACAGATTATAAGAATCTCAAATACTTCATAACTACATATAAACTGACTGAATAATAGATGCAATGATTCAAGTTTCTAAGCTGCTTTCATTTTACAATATACTACTGCTCTGACAGTCAGAACTTGATGACAGATATACTCTTATAACAAGAACAAGATATACTGTCTGATATAATAGATATATAGTGAATGAATTGAGAACACTGACTCTTAAACCTGAAGATATTAGTTAATTATAATGAGATCACTTATAGTACTATACACACTTCTTTAATTACAACACCTTCTCTCTGAACTGATACTGATATCTTCACTTGTTCTACACTGAATGAACTGTGATATACAGCAGCTCAGACTGATAAACTTCTTCAAACTCTCACTGAAGCAGTATAATAAGAAGTGTCTTAATTTTCTTCAGAATTACATATAAGAACTGACATCTCAGAATGTTCAATAGATAACAGTAATACTCTGCAATTTCATGAATAATGCTGAGTTTCTCACTCTGAACTCTTACACACTCAGATAATACAAGAGATGCATGACTTATATATAACTGATTATTTAGATTATAAACAACTGTATAAAATGATCCTCTGAGAGTTCTACTGACTTAAGATATTAAACAGTATTAGACACTTCATCTGAAACTGCAATCACTGTTTTTCTGTTATTTTATAAAAGAACTGTAGAAAGAATCTACTGAAATCACTCAATATCTCTAATAGAATCTGATAAAATGTAGTGATTAACTTCACTATTAATCGATCTAAGAGCAAGAGTTGCAAGAATATTCTAGTCATCATTGACTAAGTAAAGATGTAATATTGAAACCTTATAATAAGATAAATACTGAACAAGTCACTGAAACCTTCTTACAGAGTTCATTCTATCAGATACATAAATTGTCAAGATCTATTATATCAGATCAAGACTGTCAATTCATAAGTACTCTCTGAATAAGAATCTATCAAGTTCTTAAAATTACATATTATTTGTTAACTGTCTATCACTCTGAAACTGATAATGCATCAGAAGAAAAATAATTATTATTATTATTAGTATTCTTTAATTATAGATGTATATAGTCAGAGACTATGACATCTACCTGAGAACTTTTAGTTCTCAGGGTTTTTCCTATATCTGTAAAGTTAACTATTATACATTCATCAATTTCAGATATGTAAAATGAGAAAATTCCAGCTCAGAATACAAAAACTGTTTACAAATTACAGTATCTTAACATCTTCTGATACTTTGAAATCATTTGACAATATCATGACAAAGGAAAAGAGAACACAGTCTTAAAGATAGACATATTAAATAGATAGATAGAAAGAAATTGAAAGGAAAAGATAAAGTAAAGAGAGACTGTAATAAAACAAATTA